AATATATTTTGGAATATTTTTTAAACATTAAAAAAAATTTAGACTACTTTTTAGAGTACTTTTTAAAAATTTTAATAGTATTTGAAAGACTAATTTTTGAAAAACTCTTGAATCCAAAAAGAGGAAATTTAGGAATTGCTACTACTTAATTATTAATTAATGTCCCTATCAGCTTCTTCTGGATTTTAGGACAGTTCTCTCTTTATTTATTGAGGGTAGGAAGAATATTGGTGTGCATAATTAGTTGATCAGCCCACATTGCCTGGTGCTAGCCTGTTTCCACTTTATGCATCACTCGTACGAATTGCATTCTGAAAAAGGACTTCCAAATCAGCTTTTTAAAGGAAACCTTAATCTTAGCTATAGCCCACAGATTAAGAGAAGTTTAAAACCACCAAAGCTAATCCATCTTAGCAGCCAGTGCGTTGATTATGAGAAGTTTGAAACATAAGACGTCCCCAAAACGGCACAGTTTCAGCTAAACAGTTGAAAGTTCCGAAAGTCTGACCTGCCATGTGAGCAACGTAAAAGGGCACTGAAGCAACTTATTAGAATGTCTCGAGGGTTACAACGTCAGAGGGTGTAAGAATGTACGGATCATTTTTATTAAGAATTTTCAAGGATTTTTTTTGCAGACCCAACAATCATGGGCTTACAACCCACCATGTATTGTTCGTCACATGAGAGAGAGAGAAATTGATACATTTTTGGAGTTGGAACTTCAAAGATGGAAAGGGTGACGAATTTTCTCCTTCGCATCTGCACTGCAGTAAAAATTTGTCCTCAAACGTGCGGGTCAGTGCTCAATATTTTAATCTAATTTGCTGGTAGTGTTCCTTGTTCTGTTTAATCTTTCCAAACTAGCAACGTGAGTGTACAAACTATAAACCATCAGGCCAATGCCAACAGGAGAATTTAAGTCCCTGTTGGGGTGCTGGTTGGAATATCAGATTCTCTTGCTAGCATCATCAGACAACAACAGGCATTCCCGACTTCTCAAACCCAACAAGTGAAATGTTGCTAAACAATAATGTAGAAATGTGTAATATATCAAGCTTCATTTAATATATTGGATTTCATTTGTGTCTTGTTCTCATGATGAATTATGCCTGAATTGTAAGCTTGCGATTCAATGCGTCCCAAATTTTGATACTATATAGACAAGGCAATAATTATGAGGTCGAACATTGAGCTACACATTCAAAGCGAGAAGAAGGAAATGGAGGTCCAAACGAACGGCCTGAAAGAAATAATGAAGCAGCAGCAAAACAAGACATGGGTAGCAAATCCTGATTGAGGGCTGAATCTTTTTATCTCGTACTACTACTGCTTCTTAAGGCAAGCGTTAAGTGGATAGGAAGCATCAAGGAGTTTGTCACTGCGCTGCGACGGCACGTGATGACCACATGGAAATGGAAGCATGATTTCTTTTGGATGGGGGGGGGGGGCTGCTATTTTCAGCAGTACTACCCCTGTGTAATGTGGAATCCTTTTCAAAAGCTCGTGTCAATGTGCAGCAGACAACTCTTTCTTTTTCGTTTTCTGATGTTTCTAACCTTATCTTTCTTGTATCTAAGAACATGCTGCCTTTGTATTTCTTTCCATCCATCTTTTTCTTCAATACATGCCTCCAATCAATTAAGGTCCCCATTTTGCCAAATCTAATGTGCTGAGCAGCCAGCAGAGCTCACATTGTTTGTTCATTATTTGTTGTTCCTAATGTGCAATTTTCTAACCTTAAAATAGTGGCAATTGCTTTTGACAGATGGAGATATTTACGTTCCTGATTCAACAAATTTACACGAATCACTACGATTCTGAACTCTGAACTATGTAGATGTAGTCACTAGAGCGCTAGTTATTTTTGAAGTGTGGACCAAAAGCAAATAGGCAGGCAAAGATGGGAAACATGGTCGATTCTTCTGACTAACTTCTTTCCTCTATCCATTGCTCGAAAATACATATATTTGCTTCCCTTGCTAGCGAACACAAAGCAATTGTGGAGGAATTTTAATTATTTTCATCTTTCACGTATTGTCTCACAAGAACCTTGTTTCACATAATCTCAAGTTAATTCAAGAATTTATGTTGTAGTTTTTTTTTATTATTATTGTAATCTTGTATTCCTATACAAGAAAATTGATCAAAACATGGTGATATCATGTATTTGCCATTTACTTATCCAGCATGTTCTCCCTTGACAGTATTCATATGCTTAAAAATGGATACCAAGAAAAAAATTTGTATTGATCAAGATAGAGGGCTCAAGATTACTATAATGTCTGCACACCTTGAAATTGTATCAACTTCCCAAGAAGCTACAATGTTTATTAGACATTGGAAACAGTGAACTTTGAGTGTGGGCTGTCGAAGCCTATCATTTTTATGGAAACTGAAAGGCCATGTGAAAAATCCCAATAGGGATGCTGCAACTTAGAATGTCCCAAAGAGGTGTGAAGCTTAAAAGGGTTAATAGTACGGGTCGCAAAATTCTAAGGAAAAACCAGACAAGATGGATCATATTTGTCAGGGAGTTATTGTTCCACCTTTCCTCCTTCGAGATGCTTTAATGGATTTATTGCCATTTTTCGAAAAGAAAACGTAAAGTACATCTTTATACTGGTTTGTTTGCTTCTAATCACTTATTCACAATTAGTCATCTGAGTTATGAGTCTAACCATATGTTTTGTTTATACCGAGTTTTTACATTATAGTCGAACAACCTACAAGATTCTCGACTTTTTAAGTTTTTAAAACCTAAGGGAATCACACTTTCTTAGTTTTTATTTCAGCAAATGTTCCCCTCTTCCTCTTCCATTATTTCTCTTTTCATGCTGTTTCATTTTCTTCTGGCACCTTTAGCTAAAATCTGACGAACTTAATTGTTTAGCATGATTCACATGCGCATTCTTATGATGCCAGGGTGGTGAGTTATCCCAAGCCTAGGAGTAGGGGAGCATTGGATTCCCCAGAGAGACAGAGGGAAGTGAATGACTTTTCCAAGCATTTTTTTTTTAATATAATGCTGTAAACAAGAGTACATATAACTTTCCGAGCCTTCCTCATTTGTGGGCTGTAATGAATATGTTGTCCTTTGCAGATTTAGCATGTTAAGTCACAGTTTGTCATCCACCTCTTCATGTTGAGATGCCTTCTCTAAAACCTTTCTTTATACATTCGACATGAATTTTCAGTCTGTGAACAAATGTGTATATACGTGTATATATATATATATATATGCCCATATCAGAACTCAGAACCCCACCCTGTATCTATCTGATTAACTCCTTGCATATGTTTCTAGGCGAAGCAATATATTTAGTGTCTAACTATTCCAATTAATGTGTTTACTTTTAATGAACTGTCCATTTCCGAGCACAAAGCTCCTAGAAACAAAAAATGAGTAATGCCGTATCATGTTGGTCGAGTTTACATGTTGTTCTTTGGTGATTCCGAAGAGGCCTGCCCATTTCATGGCCGAGGCATGTCACTAACACATTAGACGACTTGCAGAAAATCATCCTGTCAATGGAGTTTTAGCTCCAGTGGGACTCAATTAGAGTTTCTCATATTATTGAGTTGAGTAGCCCTTCGAACTTTGATCCTGGTGCCCATATCAAATTGACAAACTCCAATAAACAGCGTGCCTTGAGCATCTACTCTTAATGTGTCTTTTGTTTTTCTTAGTGGGATTACTATTTTTGAGTTGAAACTTGAGAGAGATGAAACTAGATACACAAACACGTGAAGCCCATTTGATGATTGATCCGTGTAAGCCATCCATGGTCTTTGAACTGTGGACACGATCTTTGACACCCCAATCGTCTCATTTCTCAAAGAGGAATAGGAATATATCTCGAGGGGCTAAGCAAACAGCAGAGACCAGGCTGGAGTTTTGCATTGCACCAGATGTAGAAATAAAGGTGATCGCAATGCATGAACGTACCCCAGCAGATAGCCATATGGCCATACCTTCGTTTCAAATGCCTCATAAGTAGCCATAATTGTGAGATACTTCTGTGGATTAGGTCAATCATGGACCACTCAAATAAAAGACTATGGTGTTGAAAGGGAAGGAAGAGAGAAAAATTGATACAGAATAGGCCAAATATTACAATGAAGCTCCTTGCTTTTATGGACGGACAGGCCATATGTCATCCAATATGAGGTGGAGAATTGCTTTTTTAGCTGCAAATTAGTAATCAAATGGGGTATTCTACCAAGAAACCATTAATCCAATCCCAGCCGGTGGAAGGCACTTCCTTTGAAAGTAAAGTTTTGCATCCTCCCTTCTATTTATTCTATGGAGTGAACTAGTCAATGTTTTCGCACGCTATCAATAGCTTGTTTGGACACTTTTAACTCTTACCCATGATCATTCAAAGAAAATTGTGCAGGTATTTTCTTTGACAGCAGTATTGCTAATATTGGTATGAACCATATGTGTGAATAATTTTGTCTTCCCGTTTTCTCAAAGCTTTCTAAAAGAATTAAAGCTTATCTGCTATTCGTTTACTGTTGGGACTGCTTTCATCTTCTTCTGATTCAGTTTACTTGTGAGGCTTCGACCGATGAAGAGGGACTCCTGCAGGCTGCAGCACATCACAAATTTATTTATCAATCACAGTTTAAGAATGTAGCTCCAGCTTGCCAGGTTTAGACATAACTACATCAGCAAAGAAATGGCAGTACAACGCAGCGACTAATCCAAATTTCCTGCATTTAGTTAAAACTAGGAAATACCAGATTAAGGTACAAGCGGAATGCAGAGTCTAACACTGTAATTCTAGTGAATGCGTTTTTTCAGTTTTGGTCAGAAAAGAGATTCGACACCACTGTAAGGATGAAATGAGCATTTTAGACTATTCAGCTATAACAAACTACCTAAGCTTCCAACATATAAATAGTTCCTCGCGAATCAAAGGCATTGATGCTAATAAAATAGATTCTTACTAGTTCAATAGAATCAAGAAGGCCACAGCAAATACCTTAAAGATGCATTTATACAAGACGCAAAGCAAAACTAACATCTTACAGAAGAACCAAATATGGAAGAGCCATACAATTAATGACCCTACGAAACCCGATACATTCCTTACCCTTCTCCCCACATTCCCTCAACCCCATTTTACAAGCCAATCCGAACCCGTCAACAAATCAAGCAGCTTCTCGCTTTCCTCATTTTTACAAAAAAAAAAACAGCCCCCTCTTTATTTCCCTGCCCACATGTCAAAAATCCTCCTTGGCCGTTCTTCAATAATTGTCTTCGAAAGTCATCTCCATTGACACATTCTACAATTTATTAAGGCGGTAATGGTTATAGTGCTAAATTCTCCCAATTTACAAAGAATATCTGACAAGAATGGATGTACGAAATTTAAGAAGTTAATAATATATGCAACGATTACAACTTTAGCGATCTTATAGAAGAACAAATATGATAGCGCCGAGTATAAACTCATTTGCATTAGGAACATACATAAGCAGTCATTCATCATTGCAGAGAGGTTCTCTAACTCCACTTGTATAGACAGTCAGCTGAAGTTGTGCCTGCTAAGAAATGAGTACAATCATGATCTTCTAAATGGTCACATATGGTACAGAGAATGCGTGTATGTATTACATGGGAAGCAATCAAGGAATGAAATTTCTACATTAACAACATGGTGACCAATTGGTTAATGAATGCTGTTCATATGCTATGATTTATGTAAAAAACTGCTCGTTGCTGTCAAAATTTTGTAAGAAGATCGCAAAAATGGATTCCTTTGCTCAGACTTTCAGCAGTCTAACGAATCTGAACAGTGCAAAGGTGCTAATCATCTTCATCAGATGACAAAGTAGGGCTCTTCGAACAAATTTCCTCTGCATGGAGTTCCAATAACTTCTTCTCGGGCTCACAGAGTCCTGAAAGATGATGGCCATACACATCATGATTTAGCTGAAGTACATGAGGTCTATTTTGATGTAAAGGATGAGAGAGAGAGAGGGAGAGAGAGAGAATGAAAATTCCTAGCTATCCATTTTAAGCAAATGTCAAATGGATTTGAACTATTTAGACCACCTCGGAAAGATTTGAGACATGCTCTAAGAAGCCGATCTAACAAATGCCAAATAGCAAGCAAGAGCAAAGATTTCCACTCCCACTCAGAAGAGCACGTAGATTTCCAAACTTCAAAAGAAAAGTAGCAAACTTCTGTCCTAAAAGAATTCCTTGGAAATCCTGCGTTCTGTGCAATGCCCAAAGCTCATCCTCTCACACATAATTTGCCTGACACAAAGGTATGATCTAATCTATCCTTAGACAATGCCAGATAAAAGAATTTTGAATTCCCTAAGGTGAAAAAACCAGCAGAAGAGCACTTAAATTTATCATGCACTATGCAATAGAAAGATGATACAATTATCTAGAACTTTTAGTCTATCGCCCTAAAGCATGTTTATATCCGCATAATATGCTATCTGAGAACTAGTTTGATTATGTACCACTAATAACCTGAAAGCAGTGCTTTAAAAATTTTAAAGACTAACCAGAACACTTGGGAATATCCCACACGGCTATGGATGAGGAAGTACACTCTGGTTGACATAGTAGCTTATTGTTCTCATGGTTGACATTCATTGCGAGCATCCAAGCACCAATTGTAACATCCTCATTGCTGAACATCCGAAAACTGTAAATTACAAGCAAAAGTAAAAAATGGAATGCACTCTGGATTAGAAATGGACTAGTCTGGAAATAAAATTTTACTTTTGTAGCAAGCCAGAGTGAGGAGATGCTGAAAAAAAAATAATAGGGGACAAACAATTATTCCATAAAAACTAAATCCATTGTTCTACCCTTAACAATTTCACTTCTTAGAGAAACAAAAAGCATATGCAAAGATGAAAAAAAGCTCTTTGTTTGTGCGTTACTCCTTGTAAGTTTGTATGGCACCAGTGCTACAGTCTCCAGGATTTTGTTGAATAACTTGATTACACTTTTTTTGGAATATAGCTTGGATGCCAAAGTTAGTAAGCCTTTATTCCCCTTCCATTTTAGTTCCTAAATGAACCTTGGTAACTCAAAATTGGGAGATCGAAAAAAAAATGAAAAATAACCTCCAGAGACTACAAGGTCTACGAAGGATTAGATGTATTCAATCCTACTGCTTCTTAGACTGAGGTTGATAAGGACAACATAATATGCCTGACAAGCTTTGTTAGGTAGATTTATAGAATTTGGCAATTTGTTGTTTCTTGTTTCATAGGTCAATTTAAATGCAAAGCTACATTTAGCCATCAAACATATGTAGTAATGCAATTGGATTGATTTTTCTATTACTGATATGAGAGTCCTTTTCAGCTGAAGAACAAAAAGAGAAAATGCACCGCTGTTATAATGAGCACAAAAGCAGCTTGCCTGTTGTTTCTCAGAGCAACCAAACTGGCAACAACATCTGCAGATAGAGCATAAAGTGGACCATAAGCATGGAGAAAGTATTCCTTTCCAAGCAGATGTCCTAGAGGCTCGTACCTGCATTAGGGAAATATTTGGCATCCTTGAACTAAAAATGTAAGAAAATACAAAGCTAAAACTCAGTTTTGATTTTGGTCACTCACACCCTTCCATAATTCGTTTCACACAAGAAAATTTCTTTTTTCCCACAAAGGAACAGAAGCTAAATTGCTACAACAGCCTAATATTACTGAAAATGATAGCCGTACTACTCTGGACTGGTGAGGAGCAGAATAACGTATGACCTTGCAGATAATTATGCACCTAGGTTGAGAATAGCACAACTACAACTTGAGTAATAGGAACATAATCCCTCAACAGAAAGAAGAGAAGACAAAAGAAAAGCCATAAAATACTGTTAGGTTCAAGAAGTAAACAAAGATATAGACTTACACCTCACTTGCAGAAAGTGAATTTAATTCACTTTCAGTTCTATTCATCTCAGTGGTGGAATTGGGGCAGACATCAGGAAGCAAACCTGATTTCTGGTTATTTTGTTTTATTATTTCAATTGTAGCAAAGGAAATCTGAGTATTCAACTGGCTAACAGAGAAATGGTGGAAGGTCGAAATGATTTTATAAATTTTGTCGCTATGGTCTATATAGGGAGTGCATGCTGGAATTGATCGCTTGGTTGCATTATTCTGAAATGCATCTTAAGGTTGGGTAGCTCCACTCCCCTTGACACTCCTATGCCATTTCATATAAGATGTAATATCAGTCATATATAAGATGCGCTTTTCATTTCTAACAAGCAAGATGCCAACAAGATGTAACATTCATCATATATAGCAATACTGTCAACATAAGCCAGGCCTCAACCTATGTGCAACTAGAAGGTTTTCTTAATTGACTTTTATAATCTTAGTTTTTTATTTTCTAATTCTGTTTGACTTATTTTAACGAGGCAGACATGTTATTCTGTGATTCAAAAAAGAAAAAGAAAGCACAAAATAAATGGCAACTCGAGATACAATGATCAAAATGCAAAGACTAACCATTTGAGCTTGGGATCAGTAAAAACTGGGCCTTTCTTCATGCATCCAAGATATGTTTGAGAATGAGAACGCTCCTTAACCAAGAGAAGAGAGAGACGATCTGTTTAACGAAAAGAAATGAGATTGCATAAAAATAGAAAAAGAAAATAAGTAATCAAATTGCTGCAAATTGAAATAGAAGTGTAAAAACCAAGGTACAAACAAGCTGTCAAAGCCACTGACCTGGTCTCAGATATATGTCATCATCTGCCTTAACATAAAAGTCAGCATCATAAAGAGCATAAGCAGCTTTGAAGAAAGCTAGCCTGTAATAGAGTCACACGTCAATGTAAATATCACCTGATAAAACCAGTGATTAGATTTATAATCAGTCAGCACTAACGTTTTGTATGGGAGCTTACTATACTCCTCTTCAATATCCAATAGCATGAAATCGTCATATTTGGCTACCTCCCTCCTAAGCTCTGACATCTTTGATTTATCACTAGTCCTACCAATAACAAATCTAAATACCAAGCCAGTAGCTTCCTCCAACCTGCAGTTTTAACAAGAAACATCTCATGCACATGGACAGAATATCAAATGATTAGGATCAAATGATTAGGCTGAGTATTTGTACCCCATAACACATGGAAAATGGACTAATGCAAGAAATATACAGTATTATTATAAACGGAAAACCAGACATTAACATTCCAGAACCACAGTAATTCATCTACTGATACAAATGTCTGTGCAACTGCTGCAGTTAAGTGGCAATCACAGACCTAAATGTTAGTCGGGTATCTTACAAGCATTCAGTAAGTCTCGCTAAATGATACTCTGCAGAACAATTTCATGATGCTCAGTGATTCAAAAAGGAGATTGCAACAAACAAACTTCTCAAGGCCTACGGTTTGTTGCATTCCAAGTCTACTCATACACCAAGTACACGAACCTCCTTAAGCAGCACAAAATCTTTTAGCTGCATGACTTGTTTGATTCAAATATAGAAATATTTACAACTTTTAACATCTTCCCTCACATGAAATGTCGGTTTTCTTAGTTTTATAACAAGTTTGCAACCTGATTAGACAACCTGCAATCTCAAGATCTCCAAAAACACCAGAAAAATACAAGAACAAATCACTCCCGTGACCCCGAACATAAAACCATGCAACTTTCATAAGACAAAACTAATAATGTCAAGGCAGCTCACACCATCATCTATCGTCCACTTGACATAGACATTTGAAGGGAGAGGGGGGGACCCAGAAATACACACCGACACAAAAGAAAGGAGAAAACAGAATAACGATAACAAAAATGGAAAGCACGTAATTTCCTTTCAATCCAAGTAAGTGAAGCTTAAATCTGGTACAAATAACTCTTAAGAGACTAAATACTGCATCAAGGCCAATTTTTTCCATCAATCTACGATATCAGATCTCCATAGTCAAATACAATAAAGGAAGATGCTTACTGCATACAACAGCTATACCATAAGCAAAATCATGAGCATTATAAAGGCCAACTTAACTACATATCGATGCAACAAAAACTGGTGCAAGCAAAAACAAGATCCTTCTACCACAAAAACTATTTGATTAAAGAAATGTTAAACAATTTACTATACCGTTGAAGACCTTGAGGATCAGAGGGAAACCAAGTCTGGCGCAAAGCCCGGCGACGACCAGCGGATCCAAACCCGGTTTGAATTCCCACAAAGCCCGTGGCTTTATACCTCTTTTGCCCTCGCACTGAATTCCCGTTAGCTCCATTATCACCATCACTACTGCTGCTGAAACTATTACCGCTATTTGTTCTATCCCAAACAACAGAAACTGAAATGGGCTTGGCGTATTTACAGCTATATCCCAACCCCTGCTTGGAAACTACAAGAAAACCCAAGAAAAATCCGGCCACGCCTACTAGAAGACACAGGATCAGGACCGTTGATCTCCTGGATTTGGACGATGAAGGTCTGGCAGGAAAGAATTTTGGAGATGAAGGCATAGCTAAAATATGGGTTTTCTGGTTCCTGACAAATTTTCAGTTATTAGACATGGGAGTGCCCAAGTTTTGTGGTAGGTTTTTTAGGTCGTCGAGTCGAGCGAGGTAAGCTTGCTCAAGGATGTTGTCTTTTGTAGGCATAACAGTCGACAGATGCATGGCATGGTTTTCTTCCTTTACTCAATTCAGTTTCTGAAACCATTTTTCGTTCAATTCAATTTCTTCAACTCTTTTTTTTTTCCCTCTTCAAAGAGATAATAAAGAGCTCCGAGTCAATTGACTAATTGAAAACGTTTTTTTGTTTTAACTGTTAATTATATATTGGCTTTTCTTTGTTTTCCTGCTATGGAAAGCCCAATTAGTAAATTACGATAAGATGAAGATAATCCACTCCATCCAACAGCCTTTTATTTCTGGACCTGAATATCCATTGAGGGAAAAGTGTTGTCCAACATGTCTCAACAAATATTCAGAGAATTTTGATCTCTAATCTGTAGCACTACTACACTTTCATATGGTTGAAAATGCCAATATGTCATCTCCACTTTAGTATTAAGATTACCCAACCCACTTCTTGCATCTCGTTTCTTGGTCCAATGTCAGCATTACCCCACAAACAAACGGAACTCTTAATAAATAGTACTAATAATTTGAGATTGATTTGTTACTGAGTATGATATTAATGAACACAAACTCGTACCATATTTAAATGAGATAAGAGTTAGAATTTAATTTTTAAGTATCAAATTGAATTTGAACTTGTACACATTTTAGCTCGTTTATATTAGCATAATTTTTTTATATTTGTTAATATTTTATATACTACTGTAGTAATATTTTACTTTAGTTATTTTATTATATAAATATTATATATTTGTTATTGACAATTTATATTGAGAATAAAAAAAAATTAAATAAAATTTCGAGTCATCAAATCGAAATCAAGCTTATAGACTATTATATCAATTCGAGCTTAATTTAAAAGTTTGTACAAGATTTGTGAATCCGAACTTAAACTCTGACTCTAGAAAGAGCGCGAGAAGTCTTCAAAAGCAGGCGTCAGTGCACCACGTGTCAATCATATAGCTGGCATCCGCATCCAGCCTTCGCTTTAAAGCTCGATTTGATTGATTTATTTACAGCACAGCGCACCCACTATGAGTATGATGAAAATAAATCCATCTGATTCTGATCCGGACAAACACATTTCCGAATGACATTAAAGAATAAAAGAATATCTCATTTCCAATTAGACCACTACTACATTGATTTTGCAAGACTATAAATCTCAACAAAATTGTTTTGTCTATCATACATCTCCTGCGATTCTACACAACTAACTATATGAAGTTGGGCATTTTCCAACAATGGAGCAGTTTCATCAAGGGAAACCTTCGCAGGACAGCTAAAATCCTGACCTTCAGTTAATTGAAAATCAGAGTCAACAGGTCTAATTTCTCCACCGGGATGAGCTTCTTCATGGCATTCACCCTGATCTGAGTGTTGTGCAGGCTCACTGACTAGAAAAGAATCTCCATGCTGAGATTCTTCATGGTGCAAACTTCCATTTTCCTGATTTTTTACTGTTAGTTCTTTCATACGGTCAGCAGACCCAAAATTTTCTACGCCATTGGCTACTTCAAAAGGGTACTGATCACATTGTTGGCCAGGCTGCTGAGAGAAACCTCCTTGGGAGCATCGTCCTGATGAAGTTGGATCGTCTACTCTTGCAATTGAAGCAGCAGAGGGTCCTGTTTTCAGTACAAAATTTTATCAGTTTCCGAAGAAACCAAAAGAAAATGAAGAACGTCCACCAGAATGGAGGACTCAACACTTGCCTGGTTTTTGGTCCGGCTCGTTCTCACACAAAGACTTCTTAAGCCATACGGTGCCAGGAAACACCATCAGGTTAATATTGCTTAGACCTTTTTTCTCATAATCTTCCAAGGGTTTAAAGCCAAAACCCTCTGTCCAAGTCTCAACCAAACCAGGAATGGCAGATATCACAAGCTTCTCGACCTTGAGAGATTTTAGCATCTGAAGCCACAAAGTTTAGATTGCGTTAATTATAAAAGTAAAAACTTTGTGAACTTTACATTTTATGCACGAATCGCAGATCAAAAAGGATTTCAATGAAATACAATCTACTATTTGACATGCCAGGTGGCAGCAATTGATCCTAAATACTCTGATAGGGAAGCCAAAAACAAGAATGCTCATTCAAATTATAAAAGGACAGGAAACGGGAGGTGATCTCTTGATTCCCTTATAATGAACAGTTAAACTGGCAAATGTAATGCAAGTGGATTTATAATTTAGGTCTCGATTAGAAAGAGGTACTTTTTAAATACCAATAACTGGATGAGCAGTGTGGTGGGGTCAGTAGGTAGACCAGAACTTCTATATGTTCAAGAGGCTATGTAACCAGTTGCTTATCATGTCCTCCAAGCTCCATTGTCAAACTCCTTCCCCAGTCCTCCCCGGGCATATATATATATATAATTGACCCAAGAGAGGAAAGTCCTTTTTTCTTTTTTTTTGTAAATAAGCAACGGATAAAGGGTTCCTTGCAAATCAAAGCCATTGACAATAATAAATTACATTCTTACCAGTTCAATCGAATTAAGTAGGCGACGGCACATGCCTTGGCGACGATACTTGCTGCATGTTGCAATAAGTGGCATCTCTGCAACTATTACTCCATGGATCCTGAATCAAAACAAATATTGAACCCATCTCCCCCAGCAAGCAAATAGCACTCGAAACAGGCTAGAAAGTTATTGTTAGAAATGAAACAAATCATTCATAAATCACAAATCAGCATCCTAGCCACATGCCACAACCATTGCAGTGACAAAGGCCAGAGTTTTATCTCCCTCCCTCCCTTCCCCCCCCCCCCCCAAAAAAAAAAAAAACCCCAACCAAAAACAAAACCAAATAAATAAAAAAATTTGCAGATCACCTCAGAGCATAATATGATGCCTAAATATTTTAATTTTGATCTTCATACATGGAGCATGTGAAATACTACTACTTTCATTCAGCCTAAATTGCCGGGTAATGCCTAAAAATAACACCCTAATCACAGGGGGAAGGGGTGAGTTGGGTGGTTCTGGGGGAGGAAGTGTAAAGTAAGAGGTCTCCAGCTCAAGTCCTCCTACTTACACTATAAAAAAAATTTAAAAAAAAAACACCCTGATCACAGCAACGGAGCAGAGAGAAACATTTCCAGAATCATGTAATTGTAAAGTACAATCACCAGCAGCGCCTTTATGGTAAACTTAAACGGTGAAAGCCAGAAGTGAATTAGTATATTTAGTTAAAATACCTTTCTCATTCCAATTCAGTATGTTCAAGTTGATGATAACAATCTTAAACAACATTCTGAAGCATTAATCAAATAAACTCCATAAGACTTGGCCACTTAAGCATCACTGAGGAAGATTACTGGTTTATCCTCATTAAATTTAACCGTCAAGAGTAGAGAATATCGAGACCATATGAAAAATGGGCGGGGATTCTTTGCAATCACAGTATGGATTGCAGAGAACGGTTCATGGTGATAGATGGACTAATTTGAAATTGGATGGTTTTTATTGAATTTGGGGCACAAATTTCAACAAGTGAAAACTTTTGTTGTGTTTTTTCATATTGTTGTATTAGTCTACATTTGTTGTATCAGTGCCTACATTGCACCATACAATTGCCACTGGCAAATACAGAGGCCCCCCATCCATGAAAAATTTAGCCAAGCCACGCAAGAAGGTCAACTCTTTGACTTTTACAAGTGATTACAGCAATGAAGCACAATAGCAGTGATGACCAAGCCAAGACTGAATATTTCTACAGAGGAGAAATGATCTAGTGACTACCTGATTGATGCTATAGACATCAATATGTCATTCTTCTCCAAGACCACAGTGTAGAAACCATCATAGTTAAGACGTGCAAATTGCGATCTGCAAGAAAAGAAAAGCAGTCTTAATAATGAATACAATCACATGTTCTCTGAGGTTTAATTATGAAAAAAAGAATTAGAAGATAAGAAAAAAGATTATAGTAAATTTTTCCATAGCAAAGGATAAATAATCGTAAATCAACTAGGCTAAATGAAGAATACACCATAATCAGCAATATCATAAAGAAAAATAAGTTGGAAAAGCAAAAGAAGAAATCGAAGTTCAAGCTTTCTCTTGACAACAGATTATGTGTCTCACTGAGAAGAACAAATAATATCTTAAATCCGCTTTTACAAGCTGCAGTGTTTTTCAAGTCAGCTGAGATAGAGCATCAACCTGGAATTTAAAGCAATAGTAAGGGAGAAGAGGGTGGGATAAAGAAGGAAAAGGTGCAATTTGACTAATCATCCAACAAAAACGGTAATTTGAAAAAAAAGGGTCAAGAAGATGCTGAAAGCAAAAGAGGCCAAGTGTAAAGTAGACAGCTTGTCAAGCAGAAGTAAAATCCTTGTTGAAAACCAAAAAGAACTCACCCCCAGTTGTATACAACTTGGGGTATCATGTCTATGCCGGTTCTAGGGTCCACCATAGGAAGAAAGCACTCCTCCATGATCGTAAGGGCAACAGCTAATTTCGAGTTGCATTCAGCCTTTAAAGCAACAAAGCGCTGTGCAGAATGAACTTTCTGATCACCATGAATGCACTTCAGAAGTGTCCAACAAAAGCCCTCAGAAAGGAGATTCATCATCCCAATTCGAGATTGAAGACCTGAATAGATCTGCATGGCACAATAGGATGAGTATTCTATCGTTGTTTTATAAGAAATTGTTCATAAATAGGACAAGGAATTAGTTTGGCAGTGCATAAGTAATTGAGATGGAACCATGAAAACCAAAACCAGAGGATTCCTATTTGTATACTATTATTACAACCAAGTCTGAAAGAGACGCTCACTGCTTTCTTCTGACAGTATGACCTTGGAAGCTCTAACTACCACAACATATTTGAAGTTCAAATGTGAGAACATTACATATGTCAGAAACATGCATCTCTTGCTTCCTTTTGGGAGCATTGCGTGAGGTAGAGGGAGAGGACGAAAGAGGTCAGAGATTAATTTATAAAAAGCTACACCAGTACCATCCTGTACAAATTTGTCCAACCTCATTGTGAGGTTCAGAAATTGAACAATAAAATGAGAAAATAAATCTTCACCAAAATGAAAACAACTCTGGACCTCAAGATATGGTCAACAAAATTGCACTCATAAAACATATCCTAATATATTTTGATGCACACGT